CTCTCTCCATTCTGAAAACTGACCATTTATTCCTACCCTTTGTTTTCTGTCTTTTAACAAGTTATATGCACCATACAGAGAGAGAAACCTTGCCAACCCTCCACAGTTGCCCTGGAGTCTCCCGGTATCAGCCTGTAGCACTCGGTGACTGCTGAAAGCAAACCAAGTGATTTTAATGGGCTATTTTAAGAAAATGACATTACATCTTATTGAGGGGAAAAAAATCTCCCAGAAAAATCTCCCGGAACAGCGTCAGTCAGAGTTGGCAGCCCTGAATACCATCCACAACACATCCTATGATGCTTCAAGCAATGGGTTATGCCCGGTTAATAAGGCACGTTGGATTTTGACCAGTCCCGGGGCAGAAATGTGCTTTACACCATCTTCGGGACTTTCCAGCAAGCTACGGGATTCCTACAAAGCCATGTTTCTGTGGTGGCTGAATGTAGGCCCGCCACTGGGGAGAAGGAGCAGAAAAGAGGATAGTTGCCCCAGGACCCAGGAATTTATGCTTCTGTGGCGGCAGCTGGACCTCGGCCTCCTTTGAACAGTTGCCAGAGCAACATGCCACGTGGCTCTAAAGGCTGGAGGGGGGAGCACATGCTGTGGACTGGGTGGCATTGAGGGTTGGTTGCCCCCGGGCCTGCCCCTTCCACCTGAGGCCCCGACCCTTCAGGGGATGTAAACCTGAACCCCCCTGCACTTGCTCTGGGGGCCTGCAGTGTGTCGGCCCCTCTAACTGAATAAACCTCTTTTATCCTCCACGTGCCGATAATCCCTGTGCCACAAACTGGGAATCTGAGCTCACTGCCGCAGCATCCTTTGTGAGTGCGCATACCCGCTTGGCACCTTTCCTGTCTCACATCTGGGGCCCTGGCCCACGCTACAGGGGTACGAAACTGAAGAAAACGGGAGCCCCATTTATCGACTGATGCCGAAACTTAATGGACACATACCTGAGGTAACCACACTCTCACTGCACCAGGACCTGTCCAAGTGACCCGGACGCACCGTGTCAATCTAATGATTAGCTCCCATTTCTTTGCGGGTTAAAAAGAAAACCGCTAAGGGAGAGCTTTGGGTCTCTTTAAACGAGAAGGATCAGGCCTTTTTCAATAGTAAGGATTCATATTCCCTGTGCAGTCCCCTTCTAATGGTTCAAACCGAGCCATTATTTCTGCATGCCCTAAGCGTGAGGGGAAATACTTTTGTTGATAGGATGAATCTTGATATTCAAGAGCTTTTCATCTGGCAGGAATCTGCGTTGTAGATCTAAAGGATCATTTATAGCCAAAGTGACTCACCTGCCTTCAAACCTCGAGAAGGAGAAATCAGCTCAAAAGAGAAGTGTCCCATACTGCTGGCTAAAAGGCCCTGATTACTTGCCGCACAGGACTGACAATTCCTAAGCCCGTTTTGTGGCGAAGGAGCAAGGCGCCACAACCCGGAGATGAAAGAGGCTCTCTCCAATCCCATGGTGAGTGTTTATCCATGGGTCTTTACGGCCAAGGAGAAAATAACGATGCAAGATAATAATGCTGCATACTGAGCACGCTGAATTTCCATAGACTTTTTGTGGCATCAAGGTAGCTGGCAGAATTGACCCCTTGGTGATGGCATTGATGCAGTATCCAATGCAAGATGCCGTTCTAAGTGACAATGGGGAGGAGACGATGGCAAAGAGGCAGCATTATAGGGAAGGGGTTGAGAAAAGCCTTCACTCTGGTTTGGGAACTATGGGTCCATTGAATGCTAGTGAGCTGACTCAGATGCAGCCGTGTTAACTTCTGCAGTAGGGATACGAATGGGTAATCAGTAATTACCCGGTAAGCATCACCCTTACCAAGAGATGCTTACCTGGTACCAGTTAACCCGCACTCAAGAGTACTCCCTAGCCCTGTGGGGGTTAGGAGCCAGCAGCCCCATACAAGGGGGGAGCTGGGAGCAGAAGCTGGCTACCCCATATGCAGGGAGAGCGGAGGCAGGAATGAAAGCCCCGTGCATGGGGGGGACAGGAGCCAGCAACCCCACAGGCTGGGGGTTGCTCTAGCTAAGCTGGAGCAGTCCCTGCCCTGGGATTCCTCTTAACTAATTAAACCGAAGGTTTAAACGGTTAACTGATGAGATTTTACATCCCCCTTCTGCATGGGACATGCATTACTGGAGCTTTAAAAAAGAAAAAAGTGATCCTTAGAGTTCTGTTCCAAGGTGGCATGATTCTCCCCCTCCTCGACAAATAATGAGAGTACAATGCACGTTTTCCATTGGACATCAGAACGATCACCTGACATCCATTCCCAACGAACAGAGTCATATTTCTCCTGGTATAACCACTCCTATCCTTTTCAACTGGAAAAATATTAAAGTGTCCGAACTGGCCAGCAACTAAGAATATTATTTTCTTAGCTCATTCGAGACAAATGTAAACACCCAAGGGGAGAAGCAACAGATGGTAACAAAATATTTCATCGTTTCCAGCATTTTTGTTTCTTTTCAAAGGCCAGGCTGTGCATTCTTATTACACTTTTCTCCACCACTAAAGGAAATGGCTGTTTCCAAAACTATTTGCCCAGAAACCTGATTCGCTTTTATGAGGATCTGTAAAAATAAAGAGACTCCAACTTTGTCTGTCAGTTAAATTTAATGTGACACTGCTTGTAAAAGAACAGGGCTAACGGCTTGGAAAGAAATCGCTGAGACCAGACCAGTTCATGTCCCTTATGGCACAGCCTCTGGAATAAATCAACGCGTGCAAAGAATTTTCTTTTCGTTAGGTTTCTTTTCCCCGTGGAATAGCAGAGGTGTGTTTGTTCCCGAGTAGGGGAAAGGAAAAAGGAACTTTCCCATACAACTGGGACTAAATGAAAGGGGAAAGAACTTAACTGGAGTCGGCAGGAAGTTAACCAGACTTGAGACATTGCCTTTAATGGACCACATCTGGCTCCTCCCACATTTGAGTAATCCAATATCATACCAGGAAGCTCGCTGGGAAAATTCAAGACCCTTCACTCCAAAGAGAGATGCTACTCAGAACAGCAAGTTTCCCATACACTGACAGTTACAGAAGCATGGAGTCTCCCTGTGAGTAATTAGATGGGAATACCTCCATCTTCCTGGCCCAAATCTCCCTGAAGTCATTGGGTAGTTTCCCTAAAAGCACTCCAAAGAGTACAGACACTGGCGGTACATCTAAACTGCTATGGTATTACTGAAACACATCCCTGGCTAATGATACTGCAACAGGACTGCAAAAACCTTGTCTTTTTTTAACTGAAATATTTGAAATTGACAACGATTTAGCAGTACAATGGCCACCAATGTTCCATCGGAGGAAATTACTGCTTTAAAAGGGAATGGTCCCAGAAAAAAACTCTTTCCTCTAAATGTGACCTGGACACCAGAGCCGGTCCCTATCAGTCAAAGACAATCACTTCAGGTATAATACAACAGATTTGCTCTGCAATATATCCTCTGGGAGTAGCTCTGTGGTGATCATTGGTTTATTCCACCACTGAAGTTCAGATGTTTATCTTTCCATATGTAAAATATTGGCTCTCTCCCCTAAGAACATTCTTCTTGCAATTTTTGTCCAAGTGCCATCCCTCCTTTATATAATAGGGACTCTTTGGTTAGAAAGAAGTACCTTGAAATGGCAATAATTGATAATTACTCTGTTATAGTCTGAATCCCCCATGACTTGTCTGGGTAAGACACACACAATCTGCCAAGCAGCAGTTGGGCTTCCAAAAGAACTTATGCAAACTCCAGAATTAAAGCTGACACTCAGGCTGTATTAAATGCTTTTGCTCGGCAGTAGCACTGGAATCTCCTAGTTTGACATTAGCTTCCCACATTCAGCTGACCCCAGCTGTCTTGCAAAACTCCAGCATGGTTCCTATTTTGACTTTTAAAATCACCAGAGTGGCTTTGCCCTCAATCCTCCTCCTCCTCTTATTCTTCCTCCTAAAGAATTGTTAAAGGAAATCTGAAATAAATACTGATCTTTAGTACTCAGTCTACAGATATTTGCCAGTAACTTTTCCAGCCTCTGCAGAGTTAAGCTATTCTAAGTTCAAAGAACTTTGAGGGTAGACTCATCAGCATTCATCTATCCTGCCTATGCATTCCAGAATTAATAATTGTGAAAGCCAGGACTAAACAACAAAAAAAACCCTCTTCTCAAAAAGGTATGTAACAAAACCAAAGAATTGTTTCTCTTTTCTATAATATAAAAAAGTGACATTTGGGGCTATTCCTGGTTTTGTCCCAACTGTTGTGTTTTTAATTTCTCTTCTACCAAACCCAAGCAACAATGATTTGGGGAGGGGGGGGGAAATGCAACATTGATTTAACAAAAGTATAGGCAGTGTACAATAGAGGGCGTTCGCTTTCTAAACTTCCAAAAAAAAAAGTTAGCAAAGCTTTTTTGCACTGAGGTCTCTTGCTTTGATCCAGGAGAGCAGAGGCTTGATTATTTCTTGACAAATGTTTGCACTCTCCCAGCAGAAACTATGCAAAGAAGAGACGCTTGCAATTAATTCAACATATCTGTATACTGCAACAACCAAAGCCACTCAATCATTTCTATTCCTTTTTTAAAAGTGTGCCTGGAAACTGGCAGATCTGTTTTGTTTTGTTTTTGAGGGGGGGAGTATTGTGTTTTAAGATTTCTCCCTTTTATGGGCCCCTTGACAAATGGCATTCACAGGACTTAGGCAGCTAAAACTTTTTTTTTTTTTTTTTTTGGAATGCATTGGGTAAGAAAAGACAAATGTTTTGCAAAGCACAATGGAAAGCAAGCTTTTCTCTCTCTCTTTTTCTGAGGTCTGCTCACCCCTATATTTGCTCCAAACATAGATGACATGCACATTAGGCAACAGCAATCATGTTTTAACAAGGCTAAGTTAAATAAGGGAAGGAGAAAGCTATTTTTGTAGCCTGAAGGCAACTCTTTTCTTTCCCAAGGACACAAAGAAGGCATATAAACAAAAGTGCCTTACCTGCTTTGCTCTGAGAAATTGCATAGAGTAGAAAAATTGCTATCGTTTTGGTCCTTATCCAACTTCTTCTTTTCCACCTGGTGTGTGTATCCATGGTCCACAATAAAAGGGGGATCAGCTTTGGAGGCTTGAGCAAAATGCTCACCCAAGCTGAGGTCGGGGGTAGAAAAAAAAATCACAGGAACAGACTCAGACCCCCCGCCCCCAAAAGGAGAAACTTTTCATAAAGCCATGAGCTGGAAGTTTGTTTCTGTTTGGTATGAACTTAGGATGCGGGGAACTTTTTCTGGTGTGACTGTGGTTTTGTTTTGGCTTCTTTTGCTTTCTTGGGGGAGCAAGTCTTTCTTCGCTCCCCTCCTGCCTCTCCTCCTCTAGGTCTGATTCTTCTCGGGCTCTCCTCTCAAGGGCTTGTCCCCCTTCCCCTGACTCACCGAGGAGTGAAAAGTTTTTTTTCTTCCCTTCTTCTTTTAAAGCAGATGCCAGAGATTGTCAATCGAGAGCCCATGCAGCAAATCAGAGTTTAGGAGCCTGCAAAGAGCTCGGCCCCCTTCGACTGGAGTCCAGGAGACACGGGGGAGGGAGGGAAAGAAGTTTTTAAAAAGGAGAGAGGGGGGAAAAAATGAATGTGTGGCACAGGGAGATTTCCCCCCGTCCCTTCCCTCTAGCAGCCTTGATTGCTTTCCCAGTCTCTTTGCTCCAACCAGACCCGAGAGCTGTCCCAGCGGCAAGTTTGAATGCAGCCGGAGAGGGGAAAGCGAGCGGCTGCAAACAACTTTCTTGCTATTTTGTGTTTGCTGGCAGTGACGGCGGGCGCCGTGCGAGGAGTTTGCAAAACCTGGCCGGGCCGTGCAGAGAAGCAACTTGGCTGCAGGAGTGGGGTTTTCGCCCCCGGCACCCCGAGTCCAAAGGCCGGTCAAAGGAACTCTGCAAGTTTTGCTGTAGGTTTGGGAGGGGGTTGGGGGGGTCTTTTCTTGAGTCTTTGATGCCTTGGAAGGCGCCTTGTGTGCTTCTTGGGTCTTGAGCGATAAGGACCAAAGTTGCAAACGCACCCTCAAAAAGCAGCCTTAGATGTCAAAGACTGAGGAGCACCAGGTGAACGGGGCGTGGGAGGAAGGGGCGTGGGGGAAGTCTTTAAGGGGGACATTAGAGAAAGTGAAACAAAATGCAGGACTATGTAGCACTTTAAAGACTAACAAGATGGTTTATTAGGTGATGAGCTTTCGTGGGCCAGACCCACTTCCTCAGATCAAATAGTGGAAGAAAATTGTCACAATCATATATACCAAAGGATACAATTGTATATATATATATATAGTTGTGACTATTTTCTTCCATTATTTGATCTGAGGAAGTGGGTCTGGCCCACGAAAGCTCATCACCTAATAAACCATCTTGTTAGTCTTTAAAGTGCTACATAGTCCTGTCTTTTGTTTCAGCTGCACCAGACTAACACGGCTACATTTCTATCACTATTAGAGAAAGTGGGTGGGATAATTTCTTTTATGGAACCCACTCAGGGCCGGCCCACAACATTTTGGCACCTGAGGCCGGGAGCTCAAATGATGCCCCCTCGCGTGAGCCATAACTTTGAAAGGTCTCAATTCTGCCTTCTTCCTGTTCTACTCCTCCCATGGCACTGCTCTGCTACCTACATATGCACCAGCAGCAGACACAATTTTCTACACTCTGGGTCCTAGTGGCGCCCCCTACAGAATGGCACCTGAGTTTGCCTCAGTTTGCCTCATGCTAGGGCCAGCCCTGAACCCACTTGTGTTGGGGGAAGAGATCTGCTTCCCAACTACACTGGGATCTAGGGCAGTTTGACTATCATTGAAAGGTGGAATGCCAGAACTGGAAGGGACTCTGAGAGGTCAAGGCCAGACCCCTGCACTCCAGGCAGGACCTATCACCGTCTGACCAGTGTTTCTCAACCTTTTTTTTTTATAAAGCACTCCTTAAAAAATTATAAGTACCCCCAGTACCTACAGTTTTCAGACACTACATTTTTCTACTGTTGCAACACGTTTAATAAAACAACTTAATCGTAGCTGGGCAGGCAATGAAATTCATGAGTGTAAAAAGTACAAAAATAATAAAATTCTGTAAAACGTAAAGCAAAAATTCAGTTTTCTCCAAGTTTCAGTTGTGTTGACGTATCCCCCGGACTTCTCTTGAGTACTCCTAAGGGTACTTGTACCACTGGTTCAGAAACACTGATCTAGCCCAAGGGTGAGCTAAGACCCGCCCACAGGCCAGATCTCATCCATCAGGTTGGCCATATTTACTGAGCCTCTTCAGGTCTGGAGATCACAGCTCTGGATAGATCGCTGTTCCGGGCCAGTGGGAGCGGCGATACCCATACCTGCGGAGGCACAGATAAATATAGTGGTAGCAGCCCACCAGGGTCTAACCCTGGTGAGCCGCTGCTGTTTTATTGCCCTCCCAATCTAGATCAGTGGTTCCCAACCGTTTTTGTACCGTGGACTGGCAAACCCATTCACAAACTTTTGGTGGACTGGCAATATTTTATTTGTGTATTTGCATATTCTTTATGCAAATAATGAATGTGAAGATATGCAAATAAAATGTTACCAATCTGCCAAGGGGCAACCGTAAACAGCCGGCTTCAGCTCTGGCAGCTGCCATGGCCTGGCAGCCAGTGGTTCACAGCCCGGCACTGGTCTGCACGTTGGTGGTTCAGAACCATTGATCTAGATCATCCCTGGTGTTTGTCTAAGCTTCTCTTAATATTTCCATTGGTGGAGAATCTACAGTTTCCCGAGGCAATTTATTCTAGTGCTTAACCACCCTGGCAGGTAGGAAGTTTTTCCTAATGTCCAACCTAAACCTCCCTCCCTGCAATTTAAGCCCATTGCTTCTTATCATCAGAAGTTAAAAATAATTTTTCTCCCTACTTCTTGTAACACCCTTTATGGGTACTTGAAAGCCATTATGTCCCCTCTCAGTCTTCTCTTTTCCAAACTAAACAAACCCACTCCCTCATAGCTCATGTTTTCTAGACTTTTAATCATTTTTGTTGCTCTGGACCATCTCCAATTTCCTGAAATGTGGTGTCCAGAACTGGATACAATACTCCAACTGAGGCCTAATCAGCGCAGAGTAGAGCGGAAAAACGACTTCTCGTGTCTTGCTCACAACACTCCTGTTAATGCATCCCAGACTGATGTTTGCTTTTTTACAACAGTGTCACACTGTTGACTCATATTTTGCTTGTGGTCCGGTATGGCCCCTAGATCCCTTTCTACAGCACTCCTTCCGAGACATCCCACAGAAGCTGGTCCAGTAAAAGATATGGCCTAGCCCACCGTGTCACTTGTAAGACCATGGGCCCAATGTGGCCACAACAGCCCTGCAAACAACAAATTGGAAATGGTTATGACCACCCTAACATTGAATAGATCAATGAGCATGTGAGAACTCCACTGCCAAGTTCAGGGCGATCAGAAGCGCATTGGCAAATGGACCTAGAAAAAAGTTTGAAAAGCTGTTACGTGTGGTAAAACTTTTACATGCTCTTAAGGCAACACTAGTTACAGTTTGTAACTGTATCCAATACAGGGTTCCTCCATTCCACTGCTGCTCGGATTCACGGCTGTACCGTACACCTCGGTTGTGTGTATGCCCACTGGGCAAACTCCTGGTTCCATTGAAATCAGTGTTCCAACTCCCATTGCTGTCAGTGGAACCAAGATTTCCCCCATGGATCCTGGGACTGATCTTTTGGGAGATCTCACCATATCCTCTGTCATTCCTAAGCTTCTCAACTGTGCTGGCTGCTGGCCAGCTTTACGGCTTGCAATATCCTCTGGCAAACCTCCCACTGATTTGCAGGAGTGTGGACGATGGGATTTGACCCTTCTGAACTGGACTCGCACCTTGCTTCTCTAACCGGGTATTAGTGCCGTCCTCAACGGCCGTAATTACGCAATACTGCCTTGCTGCTCTGCAGTTTATGATTGGAGTTGGTCCAGTCTGTGGTCATTTGGCTGTTGGTATTGTAGTTTGTGTGTTAGAGCACTCAGCCGGGAGCCAGGACTGCTAGGATCTATTGGGGATTCGTGGACATGTCACCTAGGGTACGTCTAGACTACAGGCTTCTGTCGACAAAGAGCGTCTACACTACATTCAGTTCTGTCGACAAAGCAAGCTGCTTTGTCGACATGGTAGTGTAGACGCAAAGGACAGTTTACATGCAATAACACCTTCTGTCGACAGAAACTCTGTCGACAGAAGGCGTTATGCCTCGTAAAATGAGGTTTACCAGCGTCGACAAAACTGCTGAGTTCTGTCGACGTTATGTCGACAGAACTCAGCAGTAGTGTGGACGCAGGTATAGTTTTGTCGACAAAAGTCCACTTTTGTCGACAAAACCCTGTAGTCTAGACACACCCCTAACGTCTGTGCCTCAGTTTACCCATTGGGGCCGTGACAACGAAAATGAAGGCATGAGGAGAGGTTTTGCGGCTTAGTGTTTGTAAAGCTCCCCAAGAGACTGGCGTAGAAGGAGATGGGCAGTGCCATGTAATATTACTGATCCGTGCCAGCACTACAGGCAGAAAACTCACCAATGTATGAGGCAAAGAATGAGGAGGCAGTGGTCCAGAACTTTGGTGCTCTGGTGGCTAAAAAGCCTCTCAGCGGTGTGGTCTAATCAGCAATCATGAGAGCTCGAGGGCTGCAGGCTCAAAGTGTCCCACCCCGCTGTGCTAGGAGGAGCCACTGACTCCCAGAAGAACCCTGGGCAAATCACTTGACCTTCTGGTGCTCTGAGTCAAGCCAGCTGAAAACAGATCATCCCAATTACGCTTTAATCTGGACAAAAATATCATACGCCCCTCTGCCACGCAAAGCAAAACAACCCGCCTGCTAGCACCTGGCCGTAGCTCCTTGTGTGGGCTGGGGGGGGATCATTCTGAAACAGGGCAATCTGGTTTCTTTTCTCTCCGTGCAAGAAGGATGGGCCATCTCCCCTCCTACCCGCAAGGCGTCTTCTCCCAAGGGACCAGAAAGTGCTGATTCCTTCCGGGGCAGAGATTTAGGCTCCCCAACCTGCCAGAGCCTCTCAACTGCTCATGAGAACCTGTGCACGCGTCCTGCCTCCCTCTCCTGGCTCTGGAGACCCCCTAGCTCAGTGGTCACCAATCAGGAGATCAGGATCGACTGGGAGATCTTGGAGCCTCTGACAGGGGATCCTGACTGGTTTGGCCAAGAGGCTGTCAAGTGCCAGCCCTTCAGCTGCCCTTCCCCCCATGGCTGCGCATCTCCTGCCCTTTGCCTTGGCGCTGCCCCTCCCTCCCCCCGGAGCCTCGTGTTTGCTGTACGGGGCAGGGGAGAGAGAAGAGGGGCACTGATGTCAAAGTGACCCCCTCCCACCCTGTATCCTAGCTCCACAACAGGACTCGGCCTGGAGTTTGCTGGCTGCTTTTGGGAGCACTGCAGGACCAGGACAGGGGTGAGCCTGCCTTAGCCCCACTGCACCACCACCCAGGAGCCACCTGAGGTAAGCAGTGTCCGGTCGGAGCCCACACCCGACCCCAGTCATGAACCCCCTCCTGCACCCCAAGCCTCTGCCCTGGCCCTGAGCACTCATCACCCAAACATCCTCCCA